ATGGCTCTCGCCTTAGTGTCGCGCACATTCGTTTTTAATCTTTGCAAGAGCTTCACGGATCGAGAACGGGTGGTTTCCAAACTGTGGCTCTCGCCATAGCGCCGCGCACATTCGTTTTCAGAACTTGCAAGAGTTTCAAAGGTTCCCATGATCAACGTACCAGACAGGGCGTTTTGGAACGATTCAGGATCATGCGGCTGCAACAATTATGCTGATTCGCGGTTCTGATGAAGTCCCAAAATGGCGCTCTGGCACGGTTCTGGATCGTCAAGACGCAGCAGTCAGGTTGATGCGTGGCGTTGAAATCCCGAGAACAATATTTTGACATGCTTCAGGATCTTCAAACGGCTGTCTTCCAACGAGGCAGTTCCCTCAATGGAAATGAACCGCTGTGGGGGCCTATGAAGAGGGAGCTTGGAGGGAAGGTTAATTCCAACATCGTTGATGACTCTTGGTTTTACTGGTCCTCCTCCTCTTCCTCGTCCTCCACTCCTTCTCCTTATAAATAATTTCTCCCTGTCGCACCCCGAGGCCAGTTTTTAGGATGGGCTGGGCATTTCGCCTGAGACTTCCTCACCGTTTCTGATTATGAAGCTTAAGTGACAACGGTCTCATTATCCCAGTGCGACCCTACCTAGGAATTGGAGCATTTGGGAAAGCAACATGTACATCTACACCGACAGCTACATTTACATCTACACCTGCATCTACATCTACATCAACATCAACAGCGAGACTCACATCTACATCTACATCTACACCTACACTTACACCTACATCTACATCTACATCTACATCTACATCTACATCTACATCTACATCTACATCTACATCTACATCTACATCTACATCTACATCTACATCTACATCTACATCTACATCTACATCTACATCTACATCTACATCTACATCTACATCTACATCTACATCTACATCTACATCTACATCTACATCTACATCTACATCTACATCTACATCTACATCTACATCTACATCTACATCTACATCATCTACATCTACATCTACATCTACATCTACATCTACATCTACATCTACATCTACATCTACATCTACATCTACATCTACATCTACATCTACATCTACATCTACATCTACATCTACATCTACATCTACATCTACATCTACATCTACATCTACATCTACATCTACATCTACATCTACATCTACATCTACATCTACATCTACATCTACATCTACATCTACATCTACATCTACATCTACATCTACATCTACATCTACATCTACATCTACATCTACATCTACATCCTACACCTACGTCCACATCTACACCTGCACCTACATCTACATCTACATCTACACTTTCGCATCGGTTTTGCCTTTGCTTTACATTGCCTTTGCTTTTGCTCTTGCCTTTGCTTATGCCTTTGCCTTTGGTGTTGCTTTTGTTTTTGCTGTTGCTTTCGCATTGCTTTTGTTTTTGCTTATGCTATGCTGTACTATGCTATGCTGCGCTATGCTACGCTGTGCTATGCTATGCTATGCTATGCTATGCTGTGCTATGCTATGCTATGCTATGCTATGCTGCGCTGTGCTATGCGAAGCAATGCAATGCAATGCTATGCTATGCTATACTATGCTATGCTGCGGTATGCTATGCTATGCTACGCTATGCTATGCTATGCTATGCTGAGCTATGCTATGCAATGCTTGGCTATGATGTGCTATGCTATGCTGTGCTAATGCTGCGCTGCGCTATGCTGCGCTGCGCTAAGCTAAACTAAGGTAAGCTAAGCTATGCTAAGCTAAGCTAAGCTAGGCTAGGCTGAGCTAAACTAAGCTAAGTTGAGCTAAGCCAAGCTAAACTAAGCTAAGCTAAGCTAAGCTGGGATGGGCTGGGATAGGCTAAGCCAAGCTAAGCTAAGCTAAACTAGGCTAGGCTAGGCTAGGCTAGGCTAGGCTAGGCTAGGCACAGCTAAGCTAAGCTAAGCTAAGCTAAGATGAGATAAGCTAAGCAAAGCTAAGCTGGGTGAACCCAGGGGGCGCAACTGGGGGAACCGCGGGGCGGATCCTGGGGGAACCGCCCGGGGCAGGGAGCACTGCCCGGCCCCTTAGGCTCACACGGTAAGAACCCTCTAGGCAGAGCCTAGGTAGGGAACAATGGAGGGCGGGTGGTTTTCAAAATGTGGCTCTCGCCTTAGCGTCGCGCACATTCGTTGTCAAACTTTGCAGGAGTTTCACGGATTGAAGGCGGGTCGTTTTCGAAATGTGGCTCTCGCCTCAGCGCCGCGCACATTCGTTTTGAACATTTACAAGAGTTTTACGGATTGAGGGCGGGTCGTTTTCAAAATGATGCTCTCGCCTTCGTGTCGCGCACATTCGTTTTCAAAATTTACAAGAGTTTCACGGATTGAGGGCGGGTCGTTTTCAACATGTGTCTCTCGCCTTAGTGTCGTGCACCTTCGTTCTCAACATTTGCAAGAGTTTCACGGATTGAGGGCGGGTGGTTTCCAAACTGGCTCTCACCCTAGCGCCGCGCACATTCGCTTTCAAAACTTGCAAGAGTTTCATGGGTTCCCATGGTCAACGTACCAGAAATGGTGTTCTTGAAGCATTCAGGATCATGCGGCTGCAACAATTATGCTGATTCCCGGTTCTGATGAAGTCCCAAAGTGGCGCTCTGGCACGATTCTGGATCGTCAAGACGTAGCAATCCGGTTGATGCGTGGCGTTGACATGCCGACAACAATATTTTGGCATGCTTCAGGATCTTCAAACGGTTGTCTTCCAACGAGGCAGTTCCCTCAATTGGAATGAACCGCTGCAGGGGCCTATGAAGAGGGAGCTCGGAGGGAGGATTAATTCCAACATCGTCGATGACTCTTCGATTTACACTGGTCCTCCTCCTCCTCCTCCTCCTCCGTCTCCTCCTCCTCCTCCTCCTCCTCCTCCTCCTCCTCCTCCTCCTCCTCCTCCCCCCCCCCTCCCCTTTTCCAGGCGTGGCACTCCCAGATGTTGTTGGAGGGCGTCGAGCCCGTTGCCAACAACTACGCCGCCTTGGCCGAGGGCCACCTGGAGGAGAGCCCCATCCGACCGCGCGCACGCTTCCGTGCTGTGCTCAGCGGGAGGGTCGAGGACTTGCTGTTTCAGACGTTCTGTGCGCCTTCGGCCTCTGGAGGCTGTTTCCCGGACCTCGTGGCCTTCAAACCAAGCGATTCGGGATGGAAAGCCGGCCGTGTGGGATGGGGTCGATGGCGATGTTCTTGATGGGGGGTGTTCGGTGGTCGTGGCGACGTCGGAGGGAAGTGTTCGGAGGTCGAGGCTTCCTGGAAGTCTAGTCTAAGGAGGGTGCGGTGGCCGCACTGTCGGGTCAGTCTCGTCATGGTGGAAGCGGGTGCCGAGGGGAAAACGGGTCCAGAGGTCTTTCCCGTTTGCGGGCCTCTCGGGGCCTTCCACGGGCCCTTAGATTATTCGTCATTTAATGCATGCTTTCAACGAGTATCAAGGGGTCCCCATTTATTATCATTTATTCTCCTTTAACTTCTTGGTTGAGACAGCAAATAAAGTGGGGACTGTCAGAAAGCGCCTCGGGATTAAGAGCTGGTCCTGGGGGAAGGCCCCGGGACCCAGGGCCCGTTTCCATCAGGACTCGTCTCCCCCCTGCCGAGAGTCAGCGGTGGATTCGGGGTGAGCGTACGATTCTGGGGCTCGGCCTTGGTCTCCGAGAGGACATCGCGGGCAGCTGGGGCCTCGCAGGTCCTAAAGGCGTGCGGCGGCATACCGTGCGGTGACGTGATGTCTTGGGGGATGTCGAGGTCATCGCGCGGTCTGTCGCCGCACCGTATTCAGTATCCCAAGCCAAGGTTTCGGCCAAGGTTTCTGTGTGGCGAGCGAGGGGAGAACTGAGAAGGAGAACGCCTTCTTAGAGGGCGGCGGGACGTCTCAGACGCTTGCGCCTTCTGAGAGGTTTTCTGCGTCTTCGGGGAAGGCTTACACAACTTCTCATAAGGCAGGGGGACTTCGGAGCCTTCTGGGAAGGCCTGCCCCATCTCACGTTCCCCCCGCGCTCGCCGCCCAAAACCTAGGTTGTGAATTTTTGTTTCCTTTTTTGGGTTCCGGGAGGCTGGCCGTCGCCATGGCCTCGAAGTTCTGGCAACAGCGCACCCGAGGAGAGGGGAGCAGGAGATGCAGCATGAGGAAGGGGAGGATGGAGGATCGATGATCGACAAAACATAACGCCGAGGGTGCTTCCGGGATTGTGGCCTCCAGGGACTCGTTGCGGGCGCTGGGATTTAGCACACCATCGATCCGCACCATCGATCCGATATGAAAAGCGGGTGATGATGATATTGCTGAAGATGTTGACCATGACGATGACGATTAGGATGAGGATGAAAATGATAGTGCTGCTGCTGATGATGATGAGGATAACCATGATGATGATGACGATGATACTGATTGGTGATGCTTGATGATGATGACGATGTTGATGGCGATGATGATGGTGATGATGAGGATGATGATGATGAGGATGATGATGAGGATGATGATGATAATGCTCATGATGCTGATAATTTCTGATGCTGTCGACGATGATGATTATGATGATGCTGCTGCTAATGTTTCTCATGATGACGATTGCGATTATGACGATGATGATGCCGATGATGGTGATGCTGATGCTGATGCTGCCACTGATGAGGATGAGGATGACGACGACGAGGACGAGGACGACGATGATGGAGATGAAGATGGAGCTGAAAGTGAGGAGGACGACGACGATGAAGATGAAGATGAATATGAAGATGATGATGCTGATTCTGACGGTGATGATGATGGTGGTGCTGGTGGTGGTGATGAGGATGCTGTTGTTGCTGCTGCTGATGATGATGAACAGGGCGATGTTGCTGCTGCTGCGGATGCTGATGTTGTTGATGCTGATGCTGATGATGATGACAATGATGATGATGATGATGCTGCTGCTGATGATGATGCGGATGATGCTGACGACGATGACGATGATAACGATGATGATGATAATTCAGATGCTGATGATTATGACGCTGATGCTGCTGATGATGATTGTGATGCTGATGCTCATGATGATGATAATGATGATGCTGATGCTGCTCCTGCTGCTGCTGACGATGATGAGGATGATGATGATGATGATGAGGATGAGGACGAGGATGATGATGCTGATGATGACGATGCTGATAATGACGATGCTGATGATGATGATGATGATGATGATGATGATGATGCTGATGATGATGATGATGATGATGATGGCGATGATAATGACGACGAAGGCGACGACGCCGCCGATGACGATGATGATGATGATGATGACGATGATGATGATGATGATGATGATGATGATGATGATGATGATGGTGATGATGAGGATGATGATGATGATGATGATGATGAGGATTATGATGATGATGAGGAGGAGGATGGGATGAAGATGATGAGGGGGGAAGGAGGAGGAGGAGGAGGAGTAGGAGGAGGAGGAGGACAGAGAGGAGGACGAGGTGGAGGAGGAGGAGGACAAGGAGGAGGATGATGACGATGACGATGATGTTGATGGTGATGGTGATGATGATGACGACTATGATGATGATGCGGATGATGATGCTGCTGCTGGTGATGATGATGATGGTGATGATAATTCTTATGATGATGCTGATGATGTTAATGATGATGATTTCGTTGATGATGATAATACTGCTGCTGATGATGATGATGATGATGATGATGCTCATGATGCTGCTGATGATGATGATGATGATGATGGTGGTGGTGGTGATGATGATGATGATGATGAGGAGGAGGAGGAGGAGGAGGAGGAGGAGGAGGAGGAGAGGGATCAGGATCATGAGCATGATGATGAGGAAGAGTAGACTGAGGAGGAGGAGGAGGAGGAGCAGAACGAGGATGATGAGGAGGAGGACGAGAACCAGAGAAAAGCCCAGACTTACGAACGATGTTGAAATTCACCCTCCCTCCAAGATCCTTCTTCATTGGCCCCTACACGGGGTCATTCCTGCTGAGGGCAATGTCCGTTGAGGGGCAACCGTGTGAATATCTTCAAGCGTGCTCAAACACCATTCCCATGATTTCAACGCCACGAGTTAACCTGACTGTTGCGTCTTGGTGATCCTGAATCGCACCAGAACTCCATTCCTTGGACTTTCACACCGCGAGCCAACGTACGTAACTGTTGCGCCCTGACAGTCCTGAATCGTTCGAAAACTGAGAATCCGTGAAAGTCTGGCACATTTTCAAAACGAATGTGCGCGGCGCTACGGCAAGAGCCATATTTGAAAATGACACGCCCTCAATCTGTGAAGCTTGTGCATTCTTTAAAACAAATGTGCGCGGCGCTAAGGCGAGAACTACATGTTGAAAACCAACCGCACTCAATCCGTGAGGCTGTTGCAGTTTGTCGAACGAAGGTGCGCGGCGCTAATGCGAGAGCCATATTGTGAAAACGACTCGCCCTGAATCCGTGAAGCTCTTGCAAGTGTTGAATCTAACGTGCGCGGCGCTAAGGCGCGAGCCACATTTTGAAATCGACCCGCCCTTCATCTGTGAAGCTGATGCCCATTTTACAGCATCAGGGCCATACATGGTGGGGAAGTCTCAGGCGAAACGCCCGACCCGACCTTTCGACCAGCTTCGGGGTGTGACAGGGAGGAGTTATTTGTAAGGAGAAGGAATGGAGGAGGAGGAAGAGGAGGAAGAGGAGGAGGAGGAGAAGGATGAGGATGGGGATATCAGTTTTTGAGATTTAATCGTATTCTTGGTTGTTCGACCTCGGGATGCCTCCGGATGCCTCCGCGGGGGGCCTTCGGAGAGCTTCAGGGGCCTCCAGGGACGGGACTTCCAGGGATCTCCAGGGACCTCTAACGACCTCTGTGGAGGCTCCATGGGAATCCACGTGAGCGGAAAACTGACTCGGGTGAGCTGGCCAGAAGTTGCTTCACAGTGCGCCGACAGCTGAAGCCGAAGCCGAAGCCAGTGGGTTGAAGTGCGTAGAGGAGTGGAAAGGGCTCCACCCTGCAGGTTTGGCTGACAGCACAGCGCTGAGCGGTGCCGCAGCCTCCCTGTGCGAGTAGGAGGGGGAGGGGGACGGGGGAGGAGGAGGAGAAGGAGGATTTAGGATGAGGGGGAGGAGGAGGAGGAGGAGGAGGAGGAGGAGGAGGAGGAGGAGGAGGAGGAGGAGGAGGAGGAGGAGGAGGAGGACCAGTGCAAACCCAAGAGTCATCGACGATGTTGGAGTAAACCCTCCCTTCAAGCTCCCTCTTCAAAGGCCCCTAGAACGGTTTATTTCCATTGATGGAACTGCCTCGGTGGAAGACACCCGTTTGAAGACCCTGAAGCATGCCAAAATATGGTTCTCGGGATTCCAACGTCACGGATCAGCCTGACTGTTGCGTCTTGACGGTCCTGAATCGCGCCAGAACGCCATTCCTAGGACGCCAATACAGAAAATCTACGTAACTGTTGCAGCCGCATGATTTTGAATCCTTCCAAAACACCATATCTGATACGTTGATGAGTGGAGTCCGTGAAACGTTGGCAGATTTGTAAAACGAATGTACGCGGCTCTCAGGCGAGAGCCACATTTTGAAAAGCAGCCGCCCTCAATCCGTGAAGCTCTTGCAAATTATTAGAACGAATGTGCGCGGCGCTAAGGCGAGAGCCGCATTTTGAAAACCACCCGCTTCCAATCCGTGAAACTCTTGCAAATTGTACAACGACCCCCCCCGTGAAGGCGAGAACCACCTTAAAAAAACTACCAGCCTTCAATCCGTGAAACTCTTGCAATTTTTGGAACAAATGTGCGTCGCGCTAAGGCGAAAGCCACATTTTGAAAACCACCCGCCCTCAATCCTTGAAGCCCTTGCAGATTTTTAAAACGAGTATGCGCGGCGCTAAGGCGAGAACCACATTTTGAAAACCACCCGCTCTCACTCCGTGAAACTCTTGTACACTTTGAAAACAAATGTGCGCCGCGCTAGGGCGAGAGCCACATTTTGAAAACCACCCGCCCCCTAATCCGTGAAGTTCTT